GCAATAAATATTTATACTGGAAAAGAAAATCGTGAGAGAATCGTGATCTCGATTCTAAGCAAAAAATCGTGATTCTCATTTTATGCAAAATCGTGCAGCCCTACTGCATGCCTACAGGAAGCTGGAAGTTTCCCTTCTTTAAAACATTCCTTAAACACTTCTAGAAGGTCCAGACCCAGAAGACTCCAGAAGTGCTTAAAAAAGTCTGACGGGAAACCATCTATTCCTGGAGCTTTGCCTGAAGCCATCTGAGATACAGCAGCAGACGGCTCATTCAAAGTTATATCCATGTTTAAGATGTCCCGATCCTCTGGACCGAGTTGAGGAAGCCCCTGCAAAAGTTCTGAAGCAGAGTCTACATCGCTGCTATCTGCCCTGAACAAGTCTGTGTAAAAGTCCACCGCATGCCTTCTCATCTCAGCTGGATCTGTGATCACATTTTCATTCGAAAGACGAAGACACACCATTTGTTTTCTCTGGGCTACAGACTTCCCCAAATTAAAGAAAAGGTTGAGGCGTCCATGTCCTGGAGTCTGGTGAAGCATGCTCGAACCAAAGCTCCTTTAGCTCTCTCATATTGAAAATGATCAAGCTCTTGTCTTTTAGAATTTAAACAGTCATTACATTACAACAGTCATTATTCTGCTGATCTAACTGTGAACCAGAGACATTCTTTTTATGTTTTATCACTTCTTTAACTCCTGCAGAGCTCTCTTGATATTGGCTGTCAAATTAAAACCATATTGCTGCTGCAAAACACACAAATCTGGGCCTTTCCTACTTCCCACTATTGAGTAAGGGAATTAAAATCTTCCCTACTTGATCTCCAGTAATCCCTCCCAAAAACTGAAATTTTCACAGAAAATCCGATCATGAAATAATTTTACATTAAATCGCCAAAAGGATTTGGATTTGTTGGTGGGAGATAGAAACAGCTCCATTAAAACTAAGTGACGAACTGTAAAAATAACAGGAAAACAGTGACAGTTAACAATTCAAGCAGTAAACAAAGAAGACACATAAAACCTGGCCAATTTCACTACACTAACTCTGCCATCAGTTACTTTCACCCATACTTCAACCCGTGGTTGAAAGATGCTTCATCCTCAACGCATCAACCAAGTTAATTTTTTTGTAGAACATCTGATAAAGCAGAAGACGACTGAAGATGCGGCTCCTCCCCAGTCCCATCCAAAGTAAAATCAAGACAGCAATTCCAGTCCCCACCCAATACAACACAGTCCCCTTGATCAGCACCTCTTAATTTCTCTTTTAATGTTTAAAAACAAAACCTTACGCTCAGACCCTAAGTTTGGTGCATAGACATTAATCAAAGTAAAAATAAAAACTTCTATTTCAGCTCCGCGCTTTACTCCATGCTGAAAGTAATATTTGCATTTAGAGAAGGAGAAAATAAAATAGCAACACCTGTGCTAAAATTTGTCCCATGGCTAAAAAACTGCTACCCCACCACAGACCCGTCTACTTCATTTGTACTGTCAGTATGTGTTTCTTGAAGACTATATCTAGTCTCTTCTGCTTGATTACTTCTTATTTGCATCCCTGCACCCATTCACATTCAAGGAGGCTACCCTCAACCCCTGCACATAAGAGGAAGCCATCAAGAAAGGAAACAGCAAACAGAGATGAAACACCCAGTGTTGCAGGATCATGGCGATAATGCTTTTTACCATCCAGCACACCAAAAATGTTCAAATATATTGAAGGTGAAAAAACATTTTCTTTAAGGCATAGGTTTATGTTGTATACTCACTGCCATACTGAACCGGCCCACTGTCCACACTGCCACCAAGTCCTGGCTTCTCACAGAAGGGTGGTGCCCAGCCTTGATTACAGTGGCAGTTCCCATTGCTGTTACACACCTGAATATTATACACACAAAAGAAATGTCTTAAGTTGGTCTCTGACCCCTTTCTCTCCCTTTGTATACATGTCTGTGTGTGTGATTGTGTGCATGCTTGGATGTTTGTGACTACCTGGAGGTGTATTAGTCAATGCATTAAGGCATTGTGTACTTGTATTTATTTATATGAGCATTTATCTCAACACTATGAAATTTTCATACTGGAGAAAAAACTGCATATTGAATATTTTAAATATTCCTGACTTCAGCTAATTTCTAATATTTTCACTGACAGCGGGGAAGAAAGAGATTAAAGGAGACTCTATGCTTGCATTTTCTTGTTACTCATATTGTTTCAAATACTAATTCAATCCTGATATAATAGACTCTGTCAGGTGAGACAGGATCCACTTCGAACAAGCTGCTGAGCAGTTCAAAACACAAACTAGGCTGTGCCAACTAGGGTTATTCTCATAACATATGTGTAAAACAGGGCATTGGAAAAACTTTGCCCTGGTCAAGACACACCAAGCTACAATCAAGCACGGGCACACAAATACCAGCTCGAGCCTCCATTCTCTGCCAGATTGTCTGCTAATCACTGGCAACTTGGCCTCCAAATGATTTTGTTTTTGACAAGTCTGGACTAAGCTACCTTGCAGTCACCTATTTGCCTGCCCTCTGGACTCAATTCACCTCTAGGCTCGCTAACAAAATCTATCAAACACCTTCATTATGCAACCATAACACACCAGACAGAACCTGTCCACTTGGACCTAGTCTCTGGCAATCACAGGGAATCTGTCACCTTTGTCACCTTTTCTGTTTCCAAGACTCCTTGGTTAGCAAGACATAACCCCCATACTGACTGGTCAAAAGGGCGAGTGCAGAGCTGGAGTTTGTTTTGCCTGGCTCACTATTTAAAATCAGCTCTGCCTCCTGCTTTAAATAGTCCCCAGACAGAACCCGAGCCTAAGCCTGATTTATCCTCTGTGCCACTAGCACATCATGACTTACATGAGGTTTTTAATAAAGATAAAACATTATTTCTTCCTCTGCACAGGCTCTATGATTGTGCCATAGACCTCCTCCCTGGTGCTCCGTTGCCTCCGTCCTGTAAAGACTGAAGGTGCTGCCTCCCATTCTATTGTACTTTTAAATATCCTAGGAACAACAAGTAAACAAGTGGTCTCTGAGAGAAGTACTATATTGGGGTGATATAGTACTTGAGGTCTCAAGGATAAGATGGGGCTTGACAATTCAAGACCTTGTATGTCAGGAGAAGAATTTTTAATCTTACTGAATTTAACAGGGGGCCAGTATGGGTGAAATATAGTCTCTCTCTCTAAACCCTGTCAGTACTCTCGCTGCAGCATTTTTTTAAATCAAACTGAAGGCTTTTCAGGGAGCTTTTAGGAGTGCATGATAATAATGAATTATTAGAAGTGCAGGAACTAGTTTTTCAGCATCAGGATGTTTTTAGTTTTAAGATGTTGCACACATGGAAGAAGACAGTGTTTCATATGCACACTGAAGGACAATCAAAATTGACTCCAAGACTTCTTACAGTGTTACTGGAGGCCAAGGTAATGCCATCCAGAGTAAGCATCTGTTTTGACACCATGTTTTGTTGTGTGACTCTGTGTGATTATTGTGTATATATACATTTATATTGGTGTGTGTGTCTGTATGCTTACCCCATTGTTGTGACAGCGTGCAAGGCAAGTCTCTAACTCAGTAAAAGAGGCATTTTGGCATCTGCGGTCTCTGCACACCTTTGGCAACAGAAGGACAAAGATTACATAACGATTACAGAGCATGTACACGCAGAGTTTAACGGGGCTCCTTGGCTAACTCTTGTGGGGATACTACAGAGAAAAAGCAATATATACAGAAAGACAATTTGCAGATGGGTACATTTTCATCCATTTGTATCTCACACATAATTCAGCTCTTATTTTGTAGGGTGTATGTGGGGGATTTACTTACAACTTTATATTCCATTCGACAAAGTGCCAAATAAACAAGATACACAAACAGGCCTCCTTAACCCCCAGTAGCCCTTTTTATTAGATCAATAATATGCATTGATCGAATGATCAGTGCATTATATTAGATCAGTAAATTTTGACAGAGGGAACAGGTGACAACTATAAACCATGCTCCTTTACACAGTAAATAAAAACCGCAAACAGCTTATACTTAAAGAGTCAGAGATATCAAACTTTCCTTGAAGTTTCAGTTACATTCAGACCACATCTGAATGAGTCTGTTAACTTAGGCCTATAAGGGAGCCAGGAATGACAAAACGATGAATTAAATATGCTACTTACTAATTAATTACAATTTTATTAATTAATAAAAAATGGAATTCATTAATTAAATATTTCAATAATGATTTAAATGCTCGTTAATTTCATTTAAAACATTTAATAAATTATTTATTACCTAATACCGTTATATTATATCTGGGTATAAAGTGTAATCTCGAAATTACAAAATATTTAATTCAGTTCAATTCAGAAGCCAACATCAAAGAGATGTAAGTGACATTAAAGCCATATTAGTCAACGTGTAGGCCATTTGGGGCCAGACTAACCGGCTCTAAACATTTAACTTTATATTTGGCAGGAGGTTATATTAAAACTGATAAATATATGGCAATTTACACTTATTTCCTTGTTCTAACAATGCTTCTTGGCAATGAATCTTCTACCGTTGGAAAGCCTGTTTATTTCTTCTTGAATGTTGCCATATTCTTAAGGAAAATACATCTATGTATTAAGGAATAGAGGTGAGTATGTGGTTTGCCAAATCTTTTGTGGTTATACTAAACAACTTATCCTGCTATTGTTTTGGGCTTCTGGTACTCTAGGTGGCGACAAGTGGGTGCATGCTTGGCACCTCAATAGCAACACCACAGACCATGACCCAGTGATCCGTTGATGTCTGCTCCATGCATGCCACATTTGACCGATCTGGATAGGGCCCCAGCCACAGGGCAACTTCAACATGCAGTAAGTATCAAGTTTTCATGTTTTCAATCAATATTTGCCTGACCACAAAATTCCAGCTTGGTCTGAACCCACCTTGCCCTCTCCGCACTTGGTGCCGGTCATGACAAGACCCGGGTCAGGCAGGTCACCCTGGCCATCCTGGGTGCTGTAGACGTATGTGCCACGACATTTCACCTCTGTTCCTCCAGTCTTGATGGTAGTGTCAATTGACACAGCATTGGTGCCTTTTGGCTTTGTGGCAGCACTGTGGCACTGAATCTTCCCACACTTGGCATCGCTAAACAAAGATACAAGCACATAAGACTTAATTTTTCAATGGCTAGTCATTTAACCTCTGAGAAACCATTTCAAATAACCTCTGAATGTTGATGAACAGCCACAGTAGCGCAGTTGGGTTCAAAAATACATAAATTATCCACTGCCTGAGATATAATGGTAGGGGAGATGCCATATGGTACGAATAGCTCTGTACATGGGATTAAAACTAGCCCTGGATAAAAAAGTAAATATAGTGGAAGTAGTGGTGAGAACTAGTTTCTTTTAGCAACAAATGAGGAAAGGCTCAGAGTCTTTCACCAAAGGACATGGTTATAAACTAAATGTGACAACTTGGAATAAAGATTAAGACACAACCTATGAATAAATGAATGAATATGTCCTCGAGGGATTGAAAAAAAATGATATAGCGGTACTTGTGATTAACTTTACTTGCTCATCACTGTAAATTTATGATGATGTGGATATCTACGTATTGAAAGTGTATAATGTTCATAGACGAGTTAACCCAAAGAATAAGCTCCACCATGTGCAATATTGTTTACTTTCTAATCTAACAAATGGCAGAACATGTTATCCAAGCATGGAAAGGAAACATCATCTTTGTAGCTTATTGCTCCTATTGTTAGCACATGGCATTGAAGAAGTTATACATCCTCTCTGATTACACAGAATGACTTTGAACACTTATGGTAAATAACACACTATTAGCAAAACACAGTGTGAAATAATTACTAGAGATGGCACGATACCACTTTTTTATGTCCGATACCGATATCACAAATTTGGATATCTGCCGATACCAATGTGAATCCGATATAGTGTTTTTTAATCAACAAAACTGCTTTTTAATATCTTGCTGCTTTTTATATAAGTTCATACTCAAGTAAAAACAAACAAAAAAAACACTAAAGCTATTCTGTTATACCTGTATGCAGAAAATACACTGCACCCAAAATATTTCATAGTTCAGCAACACTGATCAATCTAATAAACTTAAACCTGCACCATCCTCCCTATTCTGGTGTTTTAAAGAGTAAGCAACCTAACTAATAGGGTTCTAACTAATAGGGTTGAGATCAGCAGCTTTCTTAAAGAGTCCAAGGATCCTGTTGACCTTGTAAAGTTCAATGCAATCTAGTATCCATGTGTGGGGCATTATGTCATAGGCTTTCTTGTAATCAATCCAGGAGGCGCACAGGTTGGTCAATCTGGTCTTAGAGTCTAAAGTAACTGCTCTATCTACTACTATATGCTGAAGGCCTGTGCTAGCCAGCTGTGTGGAATACTTCATCACCTATACAACCTGAGCATGCACCTCCAGAGAGTCCCAGTGCTATGGAAAACATCACGAGTGGTCCCAGAGCCTAAGAAAATCATCCAGGGCACTAAATGACTACAGGACTGTAACACTAACCTCTCATGTTATGAAAGTTACAGAGAGCTTATCCTGGAACACCTCAGACTCCTTGTGAGCAAGACCCTCTGCACTTTGCATACCAGCCCCACTTAGGGGTGGATGATGCAGTGATACATCTGCTGCAGAGAGGGTATTCCTCCCCCGACAGACCCAACACCACGGTTCGGATAATGTTCTTCCACTTCTCTAGTGCCTGTAATACGATCCAGGCAGGGCTGCTGAGAGAAGTTGGAGAACATGCAGGTGGAGGCTCCACTGGTCCAGTGGATCACCGACTACCTGACAGGCAGACGACAGTTTGTGAGACTGCAGAGCTGTGTGTCAGAGAGTCTTAACAGCAAAATAGGAGCATCCCAATCAACTGTTCTGTCCCCTTTCCTCTTCACCATCTACCCGGCCAACTTCAAGTACATCACAGAAACTTGTCTCCTCCAGAAAGCCTCTGATGACACGGCCATTACTGGATTGGACACGGAGCTGCCCACAAAAAGGGTCTGAGCCGGCTTTACTTTTTACGAAAGTTCAGCTCCTTCAATGTATGCAGCAGCCTGCTCTATATGTTTTATCCGTCTGTTGTTGGCATGAGGAGGAGGTGATCAGTGAC